GTCTGTTGGTTTTCCCTTGTCCACTGATGCTGTCACACCATCATAGAAAGCCACTAGGTTCGTCAGGCAGGACTTGCCCCTGGTGAAGCCATGCTGGCTATCTCGAATTATCTCCCTGGCCTCCATGTGCTTTAGCATAGCTTCTAGGAGGATCTGTTCTATGATCTTCCCAGGCACAAAGGTGAGGCTGACAGGTCGGTAGTTCCCGGGGTCTTCCTTTCTACCCTTTTTGGAAATGGGCACAATGTTTCCCTTTTTCCAGTCACCAGGGACTTCACCTGACTGCCATGGCTTTTCAATCTTCAGGAATACTATTTTTCCTTGGGGGGTGGAATTGAGTAGAAGAATGACTTAAGTGAATCCCCTGATATGGCCAATGCTGAAACTTTTTTTTTTTCCTCATTTCCCTGTTAGTCTGGAGTAAAGTTTCTATTAGTAGGAAGATACAGAAGAGATGTAGATTTTCATCCAAATTACTGTAAAAAGATTGTTCTCCTCTTTCAGGAAAACCAGAATTCCTAGTTCAATTATTTTCATTGCAGTATACTGTTGTGTAGTAATTTATGATGACTGAAGACTATGAAAGCAAGAGAACTAATTTTATACTTGGATATACCTAATAGGTATTTTTTTTTATTCTCCCTGATGTTATTTTGAAGTGATTCATTTTTATGTAAATCCAGTCTATTAGAAATCCTTCTTTTACACTCCTAAAGTATTTGTAGTAAATAATAAAACCAGTGTTGCCTGTTGAAGAGCCATGCCTTTGTCATAGGTTGGTTGGGGAAGATCCCAAGTGACAAATAGAGGTCAGTAGGAAAAGTACCAAGTGCACTCTCATAGCAGTTCTCTTTTTGTAATGTACGGAGTGGTGAAATGTTTGTATTTGTGGAAGAGTAAGAAGGGGGAGAATGACAGAAGGGGGGGATGACCATTTTTCTTTTGTCACTTTTCAAAAGTGTTCATGCTCAGTGATGCTGTTCATGCCAATGCTTACTTTTTTGTCATTCCTGTGGGCATTTGATTTATTTTATTTTATTTTTTTTTTTTAGTCGTGGCTTCACTCTTAGTGCAGGAAATGCAAATCTAACTGCTGTTTTTTGGAAACAGGATTTGTTGTGCTTCTCATTTTTATGTTGTGTTGCTAACTTTTTTATATCTTGTGGGAAATGACACTTTCTTGCATCTGTTACAGGTTGATTATATGGATGAAAATGAGGAGTATTTTCAGCGTCAAGCTTCTCATAGGCAATCTCGAAGAAGATTTAGGAAAATCAACCAAAAAGGGGAAAGACAAACAATTATTGATACTGTTGACCCTTATCCTGTGGGGAAGCCACCTCTACCTAGAGGCTACCATACGGTAAGCTGTCTGTATTTACGGTTCACGACAACATTAGCAGGAAAACTGTTGAAAATAGAACCACTGAAATGGCAAAACTTGCTGGTCTTTTTAAAGCAGCGTGTTTCTGCGGGGAAGTTTTCCCCTTTAAAATGATGTGAATTTGGCTCCATCAGTATGTGACCATGTGTGTGACTTGCATCTTAGTTGAGTTGAAAGCGCATATTTTTTATGACTGTGAATGTCACGTATTATTTCTTAATGTTCCAGTCATCATTTGAAATTGTGAAAGAAACTATGTTCTCATTTCCTTTTGATGTTAGGTTGCCGTACGAATAGTTTAGTGTACAGTGTTAAAAGGTCAGTCAGTGAAGCGCTCATTCAAGTACATGATAACGGTTGTTGCCTGAAAAGGACTCTGCTGCATTGTGGTAGGCCAAATTCTTGGAGGAAATCTGTCATCTCTTTTTGGTATCCAGAGCTTAAATGTCAAATTAACCTTTACTGGTGTCTGCCTCAAGAGCCCTTTATACTTGGGCTTCAGTTGAGCTACATCGTCTCAGGGAGATAAGTTGGTCATTTTACTTGATTTGGGTATTTTTGGGTAATCTTGTATGTTGAAAGTTTACAGGCTTTCTCTTGAGATGAAAATAAACTAATAATTAAAACTTATTCTACGAGATATTTTATATAGCTTTTAAATTGAGAAAAGCTCTATTAGATTGATATGTTTGTTTGGTATTGATTTCAACTGTAAGCATAAGACTGGAAAAGCTGTTTGTCTTTGGCTCTCACTTATTTGTTTAAGCCCCCAAATCTGGTAGAACCATAAAGGCATGGGCATAAATAACTTTGTGCATATTTAATCTCATTGAGTTAATTGGGCTGAATTTTGCACAATTTAAGCCACATACATATAAACTTGCAGGATTAGAGCTTTAGTATGTTTAAAATACTGTCTCTGATTCAATGCAGTTGTAGGTTTTTTCCATTTTCCCTTCTTTATCCTTATTCCTTGACTCGTTTGCCAGTTCCCTGTATATTCAATGTGTGTCTGCAAGTGTGTAGATGTTTGATTACGTCTGTTAATTATACAGGCTTTTCCTCATGAGTTGAATAATTACATTTTATGCCAACAATTTGTTTTTGTTTATACAACAGCTTATAATGGTTTAATTTTCAGTGCAGTTTTAATTGCCTCTAAATTTATTACGGATTGAGCATGTTCACTTCATTTGAAGATGAAACATTTTACCGGTCTGCTTTTGAAAAAATAAATATGTGGTATTATACTTTTTAGGAATTACAGGAAGAATTACTTTTGTTTGTATTATTTAGATGTGTATGTTCTGCTTAGCAAACCATTCCAGTGTGATTTTTATCTAACTCTAGAAGGGCGAGATTTAGGTTACACAGAGTGCCATTTGCATTCATAGGTCCATGCCTGTTGTATAAATTTCACTTTAGGTATGCCTAATGAGTTTTTGTAAGCTTAACTCTGGTGCTAAGAGCAAAAGCCCATTGTGTGCCATTCTTTTGTGTGAGTTCATAGTGATTTTATGTATGTGTTGGGAAATTCATTGCAAGCGAGGTTTCATATTGAGTTGGAAAAGATTGCCAAATAAACTGTAAAATTTGCAATAATTACAGTCAAATATTGCTTTAAAAAGTGTAATATGCATATCACCAACTTCAATTTTTTTTTCATAGCAAATAGAGTGAAATAAGCTCAAATGAGTTTTACAATGTAGTCAAGACTCTCCATGCTGGCCTGTTCCCTCCTGTTTTTACAGTACTTGGTGATCTTGTATACATTGTTCACCCATTCACTTCTGTTACCAATATTATTTCTATTCCTTTAACCATACATGTTAAAGGCTGCATTGTCTTTTCTCCCTTCCTATTACATGTACCTTGACCTCATTTTTCTTTTTAGTCTTAATTTCTTGAAAAATTGACTGAAGAAAGCAGGGTTAGGTTGTTTGGGGGTTTGGGGGGGTGGGTTTGTTTTTTAACACAGGAATTCAAATCATATTATAGCACAGATCTTGTGGGCTTGTTACCCATCCATTCTTTGGTCAGCGTCTGTCAGGGTCTCATCCTTGGCTCTGCTTCTGAATTTTGGATAAACAAGGAAACATTACAAAATGTAGATGTTCAGATGTTGCAGTAAATAATGTGTTACGGCAAATTGAAAAAGGATTAATATAATGCATTTGTTTCCAAGTTTTGCTCTTCCTTGTGGATGTGTTCTGGTTTAGGCGTTGGGTACATGAGATTCAAAGTAATAAAGCTGCTTTGATAGCATCCTCAAAATAGTCACAAAACGTGTAATTTTCATCTGTTTTGTTTTACCTTAAATCCGTAGTTACCATGTAGAATGATTCTTTTTTTGTTGATAAATTATCAATGCCTTATTTGCACTAGTCTCTGAATGCTTTTCTTCAGAAAGTTCAAACAAAGTTTTCTGAAGAAAGTTTTCTATCAATTTGTGAAAACGTAGAGTGAAATGTAGAGCTTAAATGAAGATGCATGGCTGTGCTTTTCAAGAATTAAAAATTAAATGCAGTGCTCTCAGCTGTGGCATGGCTTTCTGCAATAGAGTCAACGGGGGATGGTGGACCCTCGTTAACATAATTTTAACATTATCTTCATAGTGGTGGAATGTACTATGGCATGTCTGATAATGTTCATCTTTTCCTTTCCTCCTATATGGCATTCATTTCATTTTGGCTCACAGGAATGCACTAAACCTCAGGTATTGTAACTTACTGTGTATGGTCCACTAACAATTTATTTGTGGGTTTGCAGTGTGATAGCTTAATACTGATGCAATGCTATGACTACAGTTGCCTCCTAGCCTTTGCTTTGATACTTGAGCAATCTCACTATGATATAAAAATACTAACGTAAGTGTGGAATTTGGTGACAACACAATGTCTCTTGTCCAGCTTGCCTGACCTTTCTTCCTTGCTTTGATGTCCTGTGATGTAGAGAAAATGGAAAACAATAAGCAAAGGGTGTACATAATATTTACTTCTTGGCAGACACTTTGCTCACATATCTCTTCCATCACATGGAGGACTAAATCTTTGATTTTAATTTAAAAAATAGGCCCCCTGTAGCTGCATAGTACCTGTAAGTCACTAAATGGAGCATGGCAAGATGGGCACCAAAGATGCAGTGGAAGGTTTTTCATTAGCTGAAAGCCTGTAGCAGTGCTTCTTGCTTGTTTTCCGTTTGGATGACGTGTACTGACTTGGTATAAAGCAGTTGGATTTTGTAAAGTCCTATCAAAGTATGTGTAAATGGCCATTTTTTTAAAAGCTGAGGGGTTGGACACAGGCTTGCCAAGCTAGGGAGAGAAGTGTGCCAGAGTCAGTCAAGTGTCTTGGAACAGCACCAAACCAAACAAAATGTAGAAGTTTTGACTGACATTGGATCTCAAATACATTCAAAGTAATCTGAAGATCCGAGTGTCATCTTTTAAACTTAAGATGCATTTGTAATTGCATTTGTCGATGCCAAAGTAAGTACTGAGCATCCACCAAATACAACATTTGATAAGAATGTGTCTTGTCAAAATATTAAATGTCTCCACTGTTACAGTCGAGAAATCTCTTGTTTTAAAACTGAAAAGAAATTAGTAGTGTTTTCCTTTAGCTCCAAAATTCTTCCTTTAGCTCCAAAATTACTTTGGTCAATTCTTCTGATACTTTATCAGCAAATGTATTCTAAAAATTCTTTCTGTCACATTGTTCAATTCATTTCTTGAAAACACACAGAGGGTTCAAATTTCTATATGGTTCCAGTATCATAGGCAAAGATTTCTGTGCTGAAATTCTTTCTTCAACAGATATTCTACGTTTCTTTTAGGAATCCAGTTCCTTATTCTTGAGGTCAGTACTCACCAGTTTTTCAATGAGTCCTGAGTAACCTACGGTTACTAAAATATTACAGCTAAGAGTGGTAATGTGCTCCTCAAATTACAATAGGAATTTTAAATACTTCATAATATTTTGATAACTTACCCTAATGCTTGAAAGAACATTTGAAATAAAATCTAATGTTGAATATTGTACTTAGCCATGTTACTTTTGGAACAAGCATTGCCGATTTCTAGGATGAGGAAAGTAGAAACTTCATAATGTGTGGAAATAATTAATGTGTTTTATCAGACTGATAAAATGGCATCTTTTTTGATGTCATCCTTTTTGCCACCATTTGTAGCTTGGTAAAATGGATCTGTTCTTTTTCAGGGAAGAAAAAAAAGTCCTGGTAAGTTTAGGCTGAGCTGTTCTTATTTGAATCTGGAAAACCTTACTCAGATTTTTTTGATAGAAAATTTTTGCTTGTACTTCTAATGTGTCAGAAACTGCCTTTAGCTAGATTAGCATAAAACCTGCTTACTTAATAATAGAAATTGGATTTTAATGTCTGAAAGTGGATTTTCTTTTGTGTGTTTCTGTACTTAAGGCTTTTCTCCTGAGAACTTACATGGATTTTCGTCTGCTTTAGGCTGGGTTGTTTTTTGTTTGGTGGTTTTTTTTTTTTGTTTGTTTAATTTTAAAATAGTGGTTGCCTGTGGAGTGAATTTAAAAAAGGGTAGACTTTTCTTGCCATATCTTATTGCTAGTAAACTTTGTGGCTGCTATAGTGCATCTGTGAAGAACTGGTTGTGCCCGATCTGAGTGTTGCTGAGCTGGTTATTATCTATTTACTTTGCTAAAGGGAAAGTATCAAAGCTCGCTGGGGAGTATTTAGAGAGATGGAGGTAGGCCTTTAAATAAAACACTGAAGCACCTGTGAATAGCCCTGAGAAGAAACTGCAGCGTGTGGTTTTTCGCTCTCTGAGAATCTGTCCAGATTTGAATTAGTTAACAAGCTTATGGAAATTGCTGCTAGTGCATCCTCGGCCAGGCTTTTTAAAGCCAGCCGCTGAAATCCCTGCAAAAGGGCGCTCTGGCTTTAGTAGCCGTTCTTATCCCATTCAGCTTGAGATTCACGTGAGGTGAAGATCC